GGGGTCCCAGACCATTCTCTTGCTCCCTCCATCTTCTCCTCTCTCAACTCCCTGCTCTCTGCTCCCTTCTTTCCCTCTAACTCATCTCTTATCTCCACTCTCTTCCCTCTCTCTAATATAAAATTAATTTAAACTTTTATATCCTAAAAAAACAAAAGCTCCAGAGATAAAATGCAATTTTCAGATTCAACTCTATTAAGTTGAAGAATTTAACTTTATTAAAGTAACTGGCAAACTGAACTTGCAGAACCAGGTGAATAGGCTCCGTGCCTATAGCTCAAGTGGCCAGGGCGCCAGCCACATACACCAGAGCTGGCAGGTTCTAATCCAGCCTGGGCCTGCCAAACAACAATGACAACTACAACCAAAAAATGTCCAGGTACTATGGCAGGCATCTGTAGTCCCAGCTACTTGGGAAACTGAGGCAAGAGAATTGCTTAAGCCCAGGAGTTGGAGGTTGCTGTGAGCTGTGACGCCATGGTAATCTACCCAAGGTGACAGCTTGAAGCTCTGTCTCAAAAAAATAAAAATAAAAATAACCAGATGAATAATAAATGCATCTTGTATTCCATTACAGTGTTTTGTGATTTTTTTGGAGACAGAGTCTTAGTTTGTCACCCTTGGTAGAGTGCTGTAGCATCATAGCTCACAGCAACCTCAAAGTCCTGGGCTCAAGCAATTCTCTTGCCTCAGCCTCCAAAGTAGCTGGGACTACAAGTGCCCACCACAACACATGGGTATTTTTAAAGATGAGGTCTTGCTCTTATTCAGGCTGGTCTCGAACCTGTGAGCTCAGGCAATCCACTCGCCTTGGCCTCCCAGAGTGCTAGGATTACTGGCGTGCACCCAGCCTTATTCCAGTACGGTTTGTGAAATATTTAGATCTTTGTCCCAACAACATCCCTATGTAGCAAATAGGTAGTTACTTCTTTCTTTTGACCAATAAGGAAGCCAGTGCCCCGTGGGGTGTGGGAACTTGCCCACTTTGGAAGCCTATATGAAACCAAGGGAGAATCTTAAATAAAGGAGCCCGTGATCTGAGCAAACCCAATAACATCTGCCAGTCAGTGACCAAGAAACACCACCAAGGGCTAGTGAAAGAAGACGTGGTGAAGAAAAGACAGGAAATGCATTTAGGTTATAACTTACATTTACCCTGGTTTTAATGTTTTAAAGCAATGTATGTAGATGTTCAAATCTTTCAAACAATACAAGAAAATCTAAAATGAAAAAAATCTACCACTTTCAATTCTGGTAACTTCTTAAAGACAACCATTCTTAAATCCTTCTACAAGTAAAAAAGTTATGATTTCAATAATTAACATATTATTCATAAAAATAAATCAAATGAGATCATGCTCTATGTGCCATGTTATTCTTCTCACTTAGTAATACACCGTGGAGCTCCCCCTGTCAGCACAAAGACTTCTGTGTCCTTGGCCATGGCTGCAAGCTGTTCCACTGCACCGAAATCTCGTCTTTGAACCAGCCCCACATTGATACACACTAAGGTTGTTTCTTGTACTTTACTACTGTAAATAATTGTGCAACTAAACATCTTGCTTGTGTATACTGGCTTCCTTTTTCAAGTATATCTGTAATGTTAAGTGCTAAACAGTAGAAATGCTCGGTCAAAAGTTACACATATTTAAAATTTAGATAGATCTCGCCAAATCTTCCTGTCACATGTGCTGTGGCAGCTCCTTACATCCTTAAAACACCAGAAGGGAGCAACCATTTTCATTTTTGCTCATCTGGTAGGGGAAATTGTATATCTAATTTTTGTTTTTATTTATATATATTTCTTGAACTATAAGTGAGGCTTAGCTTTCTTCTACTGGCTATCTGTATTCCGTTTTCATGTGAGCTACACATTTTTCTATTGTACTATTTTTCTTTTCCTTATTGATTTGTATTAATATAAATTCTTTGTAAATAAACCCTGGGTTACATGTATTACAAATAATCGCCTTTTTCTGCAAAGCAGTTTTTATGTTTATGTCATTACATATTTAATCTTTTCCTGTTCAGTTTCATGTTCCTACTAGAAAGGCCCTTCCAAGGCAAAAACTACAATTTAATTCTCTGATGTTTTCTCTTTCATAGTTGCATTTTTTTAAATAGTTCAATCTTTAATCCACTTGGAATTTATTTTGGTGGGAGGAATGAGATAAGGCTCGAGCTTTATTTTTTCCTAAAGACTTCATCAGTCATTATTTTTGAGCAAAGTATCCATCTTGATTATAAAATGTTGCCTTTACCCTCTACTAAATCCTCCAGTATATTCTAGGCTTCCTCCACTGTTCCACTGAGCTTTGTATTATTTCTCCAGTTTCAAGATGCTTACAGTTAATCCCTCGATTACTATTTTCAGGATTCTCCTAGTTATTCTAGGGTATTATTCTGTTAGATCAGGATGTCTCAACAGCAACTATGGACATTGGGGCCAGATCATTCTCTGCTGTGGGGACTGCACTGTACACCTCTGGCGTCTGCCCACTAGATGTCAGTAGCACCTCCGGTGTGACAATTAAATACGTCTTCAGACCCTGCCGGTTGTCCCTGGGTTGAAGAAGAGGCAAAATCACTCCTCACTGAGAACAACTGTGTTGGACAAACTGCAATATTTTGTGTTTCCACTCCCAGATTCCCACTGGCATTTTAATTAAGATGAATTTGTAGAATTTAGACATCCTTATTAGATTTAATTTATTACACTATTAAATTTAACCTTTCATCTTCCTATGCAAGAATCATGTATATTCTTCCACTAATTTATGTCTTCTTTGAAGCCTCCATACATTTATAGTCTACCAAGAGTTTGTTATTTGGGTTTTTGAGACAGAGTCTCACCTTGTTTCCCTGGGTAGAGTGCTGTGCCATCACAGCTCACAGCAACCTCAAACTCTTGCCTCAGCCTCCCAAGTAGCTGGGACTACAGGTGCTCACCACCACACCTGGCTAGTTTATCTATTTTAGTAGAGACAGGGTCTTACTCTTGTTCAGGCTGTTCTTGAACGCCTGAGCTCAGGTGATCCACCCACCTCGGCCTCCCAGAGTGCTAGGATTACAGGTGTGAGCCACCTTGCCCAGCCCCTAGAGTCTGTTTTATGTCAGAAAGATCGTTAATTATGCTAAGTGCATCTTCTGTAGAAATACTATATGGTTTTCTCCTTTGGCCCATTAGTATTATAAGATAGATTATATTTCCAAATGTCCTAATATTCATCCATTCTAGGTTTAGGCCTAAATCTACTTGGTCGTGATACACACCACTATTCTTTTCGTTTCTTGTGTTAATATCTTGATCTCCCATTTGTGTGTGTCAATATTTGAGAGGGGATCAGTCTAATTGTTTTAGTGGAGCTTTATTAACTTTTAGAGTGTTAGGCTGGGTTGATAAGAATACTTTCACTTGTTGCATTTTTTTCTTTTTTTTGAGGCAGAGCCTCACCTGGTCACTCTAGGTAGAGTGCCATGGCATTTCACCTCACTGCAACCTCAAACTCTTGGGTTAAAGTGATCTTTCCTCAGCCTCCCAAGTAGCTGGGTCTATAAGGCATCCGCCACAATACCCAGCTATTTTTTAGAGACAGGGGTCTCACTCTGGCTCAGGCTGGTCTTGAACCAGTGAGCTCAGGCAATCCACCTACTTTGGCCTCCCAAGTGCTGGAATTATAGGTATGAGCCACTGCACCCAGCCAATTTGTTGTATTTTTAAACCAAGTCAGGAGGCTGAAGTGGGAGGATCACTTGAGCCCAAGAGTCCAAGTCCAGCCTGGACAACATAGTGAGACCCCAGTGCTAAAAAAAAAAAAAAAATAGAAAGCCACAAAACCAACACCTAAATATGTATGTATATGTGTGTATAGTATGAAATCCATCTTTTAAATAGTAAAACCATTATGTATGTATAGAAACTTCAAGCCATTTCTCTTACATCTAGGAAAAAAACCACACATAATCTGCATAGATTCAACTTTTTGAAAACTGTATAGATTAAAATATACCTTTGGGAAGCTAGTCTGGCCTGTGATGTTTTATGAGAAGTGCAAAAATCATAAGTATGCTACAACACAGCAACACTTAATATAAATTAATAACAAAGTATTCCAGTTATTTTCCCATCTTAAATAATTTAGCAACATACTGGAGGCTGCATTATAGATTTCTTATCTATATGCTCAAGGATAAAATTATTTTATTTATTTATTTTTGAGACAGAGTCTCACTTTGTTGCCCTTGATAGAGTGTGCTGTGGCATCATAGCTCACAACAACCTCAAACTCCTGGGCTCAAGCGATCATCTTGCCTCAGTTTTATTATTTTTTAGTAGAGATGAGGTCTCAATCCTTCAGGCTGGTCTCAAACTCCTCAGCTCAAGCAATCCACCCACCTCAGCCTCCCAGAGTGTTAGGATCAAGGAGAAAATTAAATAAATTCTTTGTTATTTTTTGCTTTCCATGCACTAAACTCAAAAACCCTTTTCTGATTCTCAAAAGCTAGTAACACAGAGAAAGTTCACAGGCTCCTGCTTCTGCTGCCATCTAAGCAACTCTGAGCAGCCCCCCTGAGATCTTCCCAGTTTTCCAGGGGATTCATGACAAATATTAGACACCCACCTCTGCAAGGGATCTACAAGCTTCTTTCATTCATCAAATGCATTTTGCACCAAGACAACCCCAGTCTGACACCACCTTGGCTGGATCTCAAAAGGATTTCACACACATGTGGTAACAAGTGGACCACTGGAGGGACAGAGGAAATCACAGACTCCTTGTCACCATTTTGTTTCTCATTATTCTCCCCTACTAGATGTTCAGGTAAACTCCCTGTGGGCAGAGACAGTGTCTGCCTAAAATAGTTCAATCAACATCTGATGAGGGAAGGAATGAATGAATCGTTGAAGTGCTTTCACATGGCCAAGATGGACGGCCCACCCTGCCCAGGTCCATCTCATTGCCAAGATGGACGGCCCGCCTTGCCCGGGGCCCTCTCACCTGGGCCACTCCTCAGGCGGCTCTCAGTGAGCTCGGAGATGGCTCCTGCTGTCACTGTCTTTTTCAGTCGGACCACCCCGGACACGGCGGCGCCTCCCGGTTTGCTGAGCATGTCCTCACTGCTGGCCCTCTTGAGCTAGGAGAGAGGTCGGAAGGGAAGAGCAGATGAGAGCTGTGGTTCAGTAAGGAGCGCTACAAACCAAACCAGCATCCCAACAGGACTGTGTGCCTGGCAGTCAAGATACAAGAGAGGCACTTTGAGTAGCACAACAGGGTGAGGCACAAAAAAGATTCCTTCATTTCCAGGATAGAGGACGACGTCCTAGTACTGTGAGCAGTGTGAGATTAGGGGACAAGATGACCCATCAGGACACATTTCAAGTAATGAAGAAACAAAAAGTCCGCTTCCCTTGTAGGGGAAGAAAAAAAGAATGGGAGTTGGTGAAAAATGAACTGGGCGATGTGCACAAGGCAGGGCAGGGCGACACACAGGAAATCCAAGGACAACACCAAGGCTTACGGACGTGTCAGAAGGAAAGAGAGCAGCCGTTTTCAACTCGTGCGCTGTGAAAGGATCTCAGGCATGCCTGGGAAAACTTTAAAGATCATTAATTAAGTTACTTTCAAAAGAAGTTCAAAGCACAGTAAATATTTATATATTTTTAACTTTTTTTATCTACATAATTTAAGTGTGCCACAGAAGTTTAACTATAGGTTCAGTGTGCAGTGAAATTAAAACGGTTGAGAGACACTTAAATAGAGGAAAAGAAACAATTTGAATATCTATCTGCACACACTCAGCACCGAGCACTCTGTAGATTATTTCATAGAGAAAACGTGTTCCACAGCAAGAACGGGACTCTGTTGGAGGCTGAGAGGACACTGCTAACACGTGACAGGGAGAGAGCAGGACCACCCCTCTCTTATCCCTGTCATGACAGGGGTAACACCAACTGTGCCTGTTGAAAGGCACTGAAATCTAAGAAGGGAGGCTCCTAAATGAGCTCACACTTCAGGCCCAGATAAGTTACAGTCACGATAACTCACAGATAAACCCACTCACTCCCTGTTAAGTCTTCCTTAAAGAACAGTACTAAGGAGGAATGGTAGAAGTCTAGAGGCAGGCAAGTGCCCAGAGTCGCCTCTAATATTCCTGATCTGGAGTAAAAATACAGAGAAGCCAAGTCAGGGAGGCCTGGAGTGCGCAGCCTCCACCTGCCGCAGACACGCGGCAAAGGCCTGCTCCATTCCGTTCCACAGGCTTTGAGGTCAAGTGAGAGGTTAGAGGTTTAAACATCTGCACAATTTTTTTTAAGTTTCCACTTTTGCATCATTCAAATTTCAGGCTATAACTACTCTCTTACTCCTCCACAAACGGCCTGAAAGTGAAAAGACGCCAAGTGCTGGGGGGGCTGTGGTTGGAGCACTGATGGGACCACTGCCTGGACACTGGGCCACCTGCTAAAGCACAATATTCCCACCCTATGACCCGCCTCCCACTCCCAAGAGAAGTGAGTATGTAGGTTTATCCAGAGAATGTTCACAGTATCTTTATTAAAGCCCCAGACATCCTTCCACAGAAAGATAAATTAAACAGTGGTGTAGTATACAATAGAAACCAGACGGCAATCAGGAAAAAAAAGAATCTGATACCCTAATAAGTGGATGGCTCTCGCAGCCATTATGCTAAGTGAAAGAAACCAAATGCTAGGGAATGTACTGCCTGATTCTATTCACAAATCCAAATGGCAGTGACAGAAGTCAGAATAGCGGTTACTGCTGGGGAGTTCTGACTAGGAAAAACCTCCTAGGTGCTTACACCTGGACCATAAAATAGGTATAGAGGTATGCACAAGTCCATTGAGATGCACAGCTAAGGTTAAGATCAGTGTATTTTATACACTTTATTGTAAGCATGCTTCACTAAAATAGAAAAAGAAAATGCAGGTAGGAGCAAGTAGCAGTTGGGGCAGAGCCCTATCTCTACTCCTGCAAATACAGGCCTACTTCTTTTTTCATTTTGGTTACTTTAAAATCTCTTTATTGTGGTAAAATAGGAATAACATAAAATTCACCGTTACCATTTTAAGCGTATAATTCAGTGGCATTAAATATATTCACCATGTTGTGCAGCCACTGCTGCCGGCCACACCCATAAATTTTTCATCATCCCAAACTGTGACTCACTCTGGCCTTTTAGAAAGAAGGATAATGGTAGAAGTCTTAGGATTAGCCACATATGGCTGGGCATGGTGGCTCATGTCCATAATCCTAGCACTCTGGGAGGCTGAGGTGGGAGGATTGCCTGAGCTCAGGAATTTGAGACCAGCCTGAAAAAGAGAGAGACCACCTTGCTACTAAAAACAGAAAACCTAGCTGGGCATTGTGGTAGTTGCCTGTAGTCCCAGTTACTCAGGAGGCTGAGGCAGAAGGATGGCCTGAGCTCAGGAATTTGAGGTTGCTGTGAGCTAGGACACCACAGCACTCAAGCCAGAATGACAGGGCGAGACTACTTGCAAAAAAATATATTTTTTTTAAATATATAAACTACGTACGAACTTTATGGCCACCCTCTGTATTAGGCATGTAACCCTAGTGGAGATTTTAAGACAAATTATTAATTTAAAAAACAAATAATTAGGTTGGATGTGGTGGTTCATGCCTATAATCCCAGCACTCTGGGAGGTGGAGGTGGGTGGATTGCCCTGAGCTCACAGGTTCAAGACCAGCCTAAGCCAGAGCGAGACCCTTGTCTCTAAAAAAAATAGCCAGGGGTTGTGATGGGTGCCTGTAGTCCCAGCTACTTGGGAGGCTAAGGCAAGAGAATCGCTTGAGCCCAAGAGTTGGAGGTTGCTATGAGCTATGATGCCACAGCACTCTACCAAGGGTGACCAAGTGAGACTCTACCTCAAAAAAAATAAATTAAAAAACAAATAATTAAAACTGAAAGATGATTTGTGCAGACTTCTAAGTACTAGACATTAAAGTGACACATTTTCTGGTCAGCTGCACAGCCCCCTAGTTTGGCAACTGGACCAAACCTAACACCTGGGTTGGCAAAGAAGTTACACTGCTGACCTGCTTATAGGGGCTGTGTAATGGTCTTTCCACCTTCCATCTCAAAGTAAAAAAGATTCCTTTACTGAAACTCTCCAACCTCTCAGACCACCCATCAAGTCACCAGTATGTGTATAATATTAAATGACCACAGTCCATAATGTCAGCAGCTTTTTTCTCAATAGAGAGAAACTATTACTCTGCCAACAAGCATGCCCAGGTGTCTCCCTGGTCCCCAAAGGAAAATCAGTTCTGATTTTGGCCTTTGAAACTCCCTAGACATCTCAAATGAAAAAGAGAAATCACTGCAGTTAAGGGATTGCTGAACACATTGTGCAAGTGATACTGCACTTGGCTCTGCTTTTCCTCTATTTCTCTGATATCCTCATAATCAGTAAGTCTGACCCCAAGTTTAAAATTATCAAACTCTGCAGCAGGGCCCAGAGAACAAGGGTTGGGTCTACAACAGAACAGGAAAACCAGCAACTGAGAGTACCCTCCCCCTGCCGCCACCGCCCCACCCCCCATGGCCAGAAGTAAAACTGCCTTGGTGATCCCACCACAGCCTCCTATCCCAGCCACCACTGGGAACAACCTGGCTGGGGACAGAAGTCCTGCCACCACCACCACCACTTCCTTAAAAGACTAGTTCCTGGAAATGTAAAGTATGGATAAGATGACAGGTGGAGGCAGTGATGGATGGGAGTTGGCAAGCAGTGGAAGGTTTACCTTGGGGGGCCTGTAAGAGGGCGTGCAACAGAGCTGGCACCAGTGATGATAAGAATAGCACCTGGGGTGACAGGAGCAGTGACCAGGAGGAATGCAGAACGCGGGAGGGTCTGCAGTGGGGAAGGGGCAAGTGCTTATCTCAGAGCTCGTCTTTATTTGTGGGGGTGGGAAGGAAGTGGGGGATGCAAAAGAGGGCTTGGGCTATGAGATCTCCCTAGGGGAGGTTGCAGGGAGGGAGAGGAGCAGCCCAGGAGAGGCAGGTGTCAGCTCCGACTCTTCCTACCTGAGACTGGGGGAAGGTGCCAGAGTTCCTCAATTGAGTTCTCCCTAGGGCAGTGGTCTTAATTAAGAATTTAAAGCACTTAATTAAGAACATTAGCGGCTCTTATTATCATCATTACCATCATCATTGTGACTGTTGGTAACTCCCTGGAGACTACAGGCTCTGCCACCTGACAGTTTTTCCTGGTCCCCCTCTCCTGGTGCTCTGGGTTGAGAGTGCTGGAAACATCTTCAGATCAACAAACAAAACTTTGGAACGAGAGCATGAAGCACTGTGCTATGTTAGAAACCCGGCAAGTGATAGGCTATGGTCCCTGGGCAGGTTATGATCTAGGGACTCAGCTTCCTTATCTATAAAATGGAAGGACTGGGATCACCTAGGATCCTTCTCACCTTGGGATCATCTAGAATCCTTTTTACATCATGTGTCCTAATTGTTTGGATTTTTTTGGGGGGGAGGACATAAACCAATTTTATGTCTATCATTATGTTATACAAAAATCTAGATTTGTACAGAAAAAAGCCAAATGAATAGTAAATGAATGCAAAGAAATAATTTACATTTGCTGTTTTTATTTCCATGATAGTAGGATGATAACCATTTCAAAGCACATGTGTCTGGCTGTAGAGTGGGATTCGTTCACTGGCCAAAGCCTGCCATAAAAGTAAGGCTTTCTGTGTCTCTGTGTGCTCTACTGGCTCTTGACAAAACTTTTGAGGTCTTTGAGAAAAGTCATGTATTCCTGGTGTTCCAGGGCTGTGCTGAGTTCTACCAACTCATCTGCAAAAGTGTTGTCCACCCCTCGATCCGCAAGGAAATCCATTAGATGGTCATACAAGGCCCAGTCCAGGGAGCCTGTGTTGAGTGTGTCATTAGTGTCCTTCCATTCAGAATCACTGGCAGACTGGAAGCTAACTTCCCTGACAGAATGTCACTTTCAGCCTCCTCTTGTCTATCCTCGTCCTCTGGCTAGTGGCTGTCCGGCACAAGGGCCTTCTTGCCTTCATTCTTCATAACTTCAACCATGAAATTAGGAGTTGACGTCAGTTCAGGCTCCTGTTCCTCAA